TAATTTAATTGTATGAGACTAGCGAGATCAGTAATACTTTTCAGAGAGAATTAAGAAATATTTCCCTGATTTTTAAAGAAATTCCCTGAGATTCCCTGATTGTCCAGGACTAAAATGGAATTCCCTGAAATTTCCTGATTTTCCAGGTTTTTCGACACATTGAAGTCATACCTTATGGAATTCCTAAGTTTATTTGCCACAGAACAGAACAAGTAAATATAATTTATCATGGACTTAGGCTCTATTAATAATCATGCTAAACATAGGCCCTGGCACATAGACCCTTAATCAGAACAGAGTGTCCATTCGAATCCAATGTTCATCCTGGAGGTTAGAGCTTGAAGTGCTATAAGCCAAACAACATGTTGTAGGTTACTAAAATGCTGATCATTCTCCAAATTGTCCTGGAGATCTTGACTAACGAAGGATCACTTGAAACGAGAGCAGCAATTCTCCCTGGAGATTGAGAAACGAGTTTACAAGGATTGGGAGCAGATGTGCGCGGATTAGTAGTGGAAGTTTGGTATATGTAAGCGTTATTGTGAATGGAAGAAGTGTATAGAAATCAAACTGGTGAAAGTGGGCGGTCAGCATAACATTACATTATTTTTGGAGAAGAACAGGATCTGGCTTGAAATTTGGTGACTTCCATCCATTTAGTAAAAATTGAACTTATTCCAGTATGAATGCAACAATATTAAAAACTAAATACGACAGAGCATCGTTTGCTGGCTGTTGCCGCGGGTATTGTGGGATTCCCAGGTACCCGCTTGAAGCTTCAGTTGGCTGCGGTGGCTCTTAGAATAGATAGTGCGAATAAGGGCGTCTATGTGATGTTTTGCTGTACCTGTACCTGTTGTGAACATTAAAACATCCTTTTCCTAAAACTTGTTGAGGACGCCTTATTATCCTTTTGAAAGTACTGATCTTCACGACATAAAGGGAACCATTACGGAGCATTAGATTTGACCAAATTATTCCCAGTTCTATTTGCCCAACGCACTCAGCTGGGTGAGGGGTAGAGGATGAAACACATACATTCTCAAAATTGTACTGGAGATATTTTACAGCTTGACCGAAATCTTGTTCAATTTCCACTCATCATTTTTGAGCATTATGTGCTTCACTGCGACTCATAACATCATTTAATATTAATCATCGTGTTAAAACAACATTGTTGGCTTATCCAAATCATCCCGGATATTTGTCCTTGAAGTTCTGCAAACTCAACAAGGTATACGATGATTCGACTTAATGATAGAATGGGTAAACCTTTGTGAAGCCCCGTAATATCATTGGTTTGGATTATAAGGTTTTCCAAAATACCTGGAGTTCAGATCTTTATTTTTTTATATTCACTTTAACATTCTTGGATCATTCGTGGTGGTGACTTCGGTGTGAGAGGTATGGATTCTAATATTTATGTTTTACAGACTAACCAAGGTTTTCTACGATGTCATGATTAATCTTGTGCACCTTAATCAATAAGTTAACTAATTATTTATTTATCTCTGGACCAATCATATCATGATTTTTTTTTTAGTTAGTTGATTGTGTCCGGTGTCGAACATTTTTATGAAACTTTTCGAAGCATTAATACACATGCTAAAGCGGATAACATTTTTTTTTTTTGGTTCGATTGATATAGGGTGTCCCAGAATGTCTAAGCACGATTAAAAAAACGATAACGTAACTCTGTTTATAGCAAATTCGATATTTATTTCGTATTCATGTTCTTTATAGTATTCTTTTACAGTTATACGTAGAAAATCCGAGATCCGATCAGTCGTAATTTTTGATCTCAGGCTACTCATTAGCTTCAGCACAGATGGCTTTCCAACAATGTTGGATACTTTTGCCAGTCTTTAGCAAATTTTGTAACGGAATCACGCTTCCTTTACATGTTTCCGCAAATATGCTTTGGTCAGGGCCCAAAAAGTTTCGATTGGCCTGGCCTGGGTACAGTTTGACGAATTCATATCCTCGGGTACGAATTGGACCTTGTTGGCTTAACACCAGGCTACCGTGTCCTTGGAGTAATGAACCGACGCTAAATCCGGCCAAAACAGTACTAAGGTGTCGTGTTTGCGTATCATGGGTAACAGACGCTTGTTTAAACACTCACGCACGTAAACATCGGTTGTCGTTGTCTCCGTTGTCACAAACGGTTTGGAAAGCATACCACACTCACAAATGGCTTGAATTTTTCGGTGAAAATCGACTTATCCGCGTCAGCCATCACGAACGGTGTAGTACTGAAGAGTTTTGTAATCAAATTTAACGTATGATTTATCGTCTATAATCACGCACACCGATTTTCCACACATCAATTGGTCGTATAACTTCCGAGCCCTCGGTTTGACGGATGCGGCTTGTTTTTCACTCCACGTTGGCTTCTTCTGCTTCTTATACGTATTTAGACCCATTCTTGCCTTGGACGTTACTCTTCGAGGATCCCACTTTTTTAGCCACGACTAGAACTGAAGCACTTTTCTTGCGAGTGAAAGCTTGAACAATTTTCTGGTCCAGATTTCGGTCAACAGGGTTCGGTTTACGTCCAGATTTTTGCTTGTCCTGGAAAATTGCTCTATCACCATACTTCCGAATCACGTTTCGAACGGCTCCGATGCTTACACCTTCCAATTTAGCTAATTGACTCAGAGAAATGTTGAGGATCCCGAGCAAAGTTAGAGAACAAATTGAAATCAGAATTTGCTGTTATGATGTAACTTATTTTGAATACTCTATTTGATTTCATTTTGGTTGACTTAACGGTTAACACAGCAAAAATGAGAGCAACATTTTACACTGTTGAATCAAACGGAAAACTAATCCTGCTTTCAATGGTTTCAATTTAATAGCTGATTTTGCATTCATAATGTTTAACTGAATACGGGCCTGGCGTAAATGGTTAGCATCCATGCTTTTCACGCTGAAAGACTTGATCTCAAATCTCACCTAGGTTTAGTCACGAATGACCTAAAATATGTTAAACAAAACAAATAAACGACAGATGAACTTGAATCAAATTTTAAACAAGAAATTAACAGCAGAACTTCAAGTTAAGTTGCTTTGATTTAAAATGTCTTGACTGCCTAATGAAAGCACAATATGAAATCAGACTTCTGTAGCGACAATTGAAATCAAAATGTTTTCATTATGATAGGAACTGCAAACTTTAATATCGATTTGCTTTCATTTTGTTAACGGACTTTGCTCGGGATTGTACACCATTTGTGCATGATTTGTTTGCTCTTCACATTGTCACGGAAATGTAAAGAACCGACACTTGCGATACCCGAAATTGTTGGTCGAAATGTAAACAACGATTCAGCGTGATAATCAGCTGTTTAAACGTCATCTGAAACAAGCAGGGGTGTTCCAAAGTCAAGACATTCTGGGACACCCAATAATTCTAGCTACATAGAAGAACCGATGATTGTAAATTTTCAAATCAAAGCTAGGACCTACTGTTGATTTGCGGTTGAGGCAGGGCCGATGATTTGTTTTGCGTTTAATTTACGTTATGCAAAGGCTTGGCAAAGCCTACCATTTTTGATGACAAGCATAAAGGGACTAACCATTGAAAGATTCGCAAAAAGTCTTATTAATTTTGTTTTATTGAGTATCAAGCTGAAGCTGCAAACTGTCTTTCAAGACTTGACCCATTTGAATAAATTTTGCTTCTATCTTTGACAATACAGCAGAAGGACTAGCCGATGTTGGCAGCTTGAACACTGGATTCCGTGTGTATTGTTTCAAGATAGTTATAGCAAAAATACTGTGACGTGTGCGCGTAGATACGCGTTGAATTCCGGCTGAATAAGTTAATCCGATTCGAACGAAATATCTAGATTATGTAAGTTACGAAACTGCGTGAATTCCGAACGCCGTGCGAAATAACCGAAGCGAGAAAAAAGGCTCCCTTTAAAGAGTACCACCAAAATAAATATGATAGCCTATGTTGGCAAGTTGATTAATTTTGGTTTCCTCCCTAGATATTCAACTTATTTTACTATTGAGTTTTGTTTCACATTATTTATTTTACCGCACGTATCAATCATTTCAAAATTTCACTACCGTACCGAACAAATTCTAAACTACATAAGCTCAAAAACCTTTGGCAAGCTCTACCGAATCGCGAATCACTTCTGCATAAGCTCCGTAGATGGAGGCGCGTAGTATAATTCCCTTGCAAACCCAAATAAATCTATCTGCGTAAAAATAAATAGAATAAGAGTGATTTACGGAAAAAAAACCCGCCAGTATCGCGCCCAACGACAGTGCCTATACGTAAGCGTACTACGACGCGGCTCTCAAAGAAAGGAGTAACAAGTGTGATACTATTACTACTGGACTAGATCTTTGGTTTTCTCATGCAGTGGTTCATCAGAGAGGGGAAGCTTAGTAATCCTCATCGCCTGCCCATGGACCCAATTCTATCGCGGCATGAGCCAGCAACGCCGGCCATAAACCTACCGTCTCCAACACTACACTATAAAGTATGAAATTAAGCCCGCCCACCAGCAACAAGGTGCAAAAACTAACCAAGGGGAGAGAATTTTCTGAGAATTCCAGATTTTTGAAGAAAAAAATAATTTTCCTGAGGATTGCCGGTTTCCCAGGTATTTCCAGGTTGTTCAAGGCACTATCCCGCACGTCATCACCCGACTGCACTATCCGAAATGTGGAAAGGACGGACAATCAAAAGAAGGCTAAATCTCATTCAGGGAAGTGGGGATATTAACATTCGGAAAAGTGAAATTCGGAGTTACGGCATTCGGTGTAATGAAGCATAACCAAGAAATAGGCTTTTACTTAAATCTCACATAAGAGACCACAAAGAGTTTTAAAACATAGGACTTACATTTTTTTGTAAGATCTTGAATTTGAATAATGGTTGTATGATCTACGGAATCGAACCCAAAGAATTCTGGCACCACTGGGCAACAGGACAGATAGGAAAAATATGTTAAACAGAACAGCAGTTATCAACTCACCTGATAACCACATGTACACGGATAGAAGTTGAGATCATCCACTTCTAGTGGTTCCATGCACAGTGGGCACTCGACCTGCTCCTCGTCGCCGCTGCTATTGTTCATCACATTCATGATGACGCCGGAGGATACACCGGAAACTGTATGACCTCTCTCTTCTTTCCCACACTCCTCTCTCTCTCTCTCTCTCTCTCTTCCTCTTCTGCCTAGCCTAAGTGTATCGACACACCCGCGGAAAAGCGATCAACTTGGCCACCTAAATCGTTACGAAACACACGAGATTCCGGAAGGAAACAGAGATAGCACGTAGTAGGATCACTCAAATTTCTTCTCTTGTTGGATTGCAGTGCACCAAGGTTTGGGGCACCGGCAAACACGTAAATTACACACAGAAACAGAATGAGCACAACAATGGCCACGAACGGTGAGAATTCTTCGGCTTCGGATTAGCTTTGTACTTGCACAATGGAAAAGCAGTGCTTTTCGGTACTCACTTTTTTTTCGACTGATATTTATTCTTTTCGCTGATCACACAAGCACACGCACAACAACCACTGATCACGATCGCCACCTGTGACAGTGGGATTCGCCGTTTGTTTCTTCAGCACGACGACACCGTGCCGCCTCAGCTCTTCTTTTGGTGTTTCCAAAATAACTAAGAACGCGTACTAGGGATGGATATCACTTTCTGCAAATACTGTACTGGTTTTGGTTTGTGGATGCTGGTCCGAAACCCCCGGAACCGATCGCAGCTCGGTATTTGCGCACGCAGCAGAGCTGGGTTGTTTGTTGGTGTTTGGTTGTGGTTGGTGTTCACGCCAGGTAAGTTCTTCCAGAATCGATTGAGAGCCGACTGAGCTCCGGAGTCGTGGTGGAAACGATGGATTTCCGTGTCTTCAACTTACAGACGTTCTGAAAAAGAAAGAGAGAGTGGAGGGAAAAGTGGGTTAGAATTGGAGCATATGGGTGGTTTGCATTGCGGAGGTAGTGGAGTGTGATCTCGAAAATAGTAACACACGCCATCCGAGGGCGTAAAGTTGTGTATATGAGGGGTTTTTAAATTTAGATTCCTAGGTCCGAAAACATAACAAACAGAATGGTGCGGTATAATCGGGTGAGTGAGAGTTTACGCAGTGGAGTCCGGTTTGATTCGGACGCTGTAGTAATCAGCTATTAGCAGTCAGTCAGCAGATATCGATGTAGTTGAGCCTGTGGAATAAAATTAGTGTAGAAGAAAATATTTTTATGATTCCAGGAACAACGCTTATCGTGGACCTTGTCACCGCAGCGACCTTATCGTGCGTTCTGCAACACCAGTGAGAGCTACGTAGAAAGTGCGTAATTTCCCAAACATTACAGCGCGCAGCGATAATGAAATATCAAACCTGAGAGATCTATTGTCTATGGCCCTGAAATTCCCAAAAATAAACAACGCTTACTTACGACACTAAACAGACCTTATCCCGTTCCCGCTCTTTGCTGAATGGCCCCGATAGATTAGATAAACCGAATCAAAGCGTTGTGTTGCGTTGCGCTGGCTGGCAAATGGAAATGTACAAAACAGCCGCACCACCTTAGTGATGCGTGAGTTACACCGTGTTGAAGAAAGTTGCTACACACGCTACTATTGATGGACAGTACAAATTCACAAATCTGATTGCCACTAAAGACTGTAGCCGTTGTTGTCAGATCGGAGCATAGCAGTGTGGTGGTCAACGGATGCACTTTCTCATTTACAGTCTAGAACCTTCGTGAGAGTGGCTTAACAAGACGCACGTACGAAGAAGCACCAATACTAATGATGATGATAGTCAGCTGGCAACAAGCTACGAAGCGGTATTTGTGAGCTTTAGTAGTTGCACTAGTTAGTACCATATGCTATATGATCGAATTGACAGAAATGATAGCGATACAAACCTGCATTTATTGAAATGCAATTTATATGAGAGATGTCCGTTCACAAAACAACACTTTTTGAACATACCTATACCTATGCTGCCGGTGAACGCATGCATAACTGTCCCATGTTAAAAAACACAAAATGTTAAGTCGATTTGTCCCACATGAATAATGAACGCATACTTGTCCCAAAGACATTATTCAAAATCAATATATGGAATACAAATTTAAGTTTGGTTTCGTTTTCTAAATTTATTTTCGGTTCTGAATTGTTCCAGTGGGACAAATAAGCGTCCATTATAGAATTTTTTTTTTTTTTCGATTTTTTCTAGAATAAACGGTATGGAACATTATGTAATATTCTAAAATTATACATCTAATTATGGTGTTAACCATTAAGACTCCGAACACGATGCATCCGGTTAAATGTGAAACGGCAAACTTGCAATGTTTGAAAAATCATTTCTCAGCCATTTATTGACGAATTTCAAATCTATTGGCGCCACTTCAAACTACAGACTTTAAAGATGTATTCGGTATCAATAGATTTAATCCATCAAAATTTAGATCCATCGATAAATTGCTAAGCATTGATTTTTCAGATAGGGGGAATGGCTCTAATGTTCCTCTATTACAAAATTGCCGTTACTCATTTTCCCGGAGGCATCGTGTTCGGACTGTTACAACCTCAAAATTGTCAAAAAGTCACATGGGACAGTTTTGCGTCCACCGGCAGTATTAGGGCAGGCACACCATCAAGCACCGAACTGGTAGCCGAGCCGGTTGTTGCATCATGACGTGGCTTTGGCACGGTGAACTTCTTTCCTCGAAAAACACATTTCATAATACCTAATGATCTCAACGAAACCAACGAAAAAGACCGACGACATTGATCAACGAATAGCTCCGAGATAGAGAGATTTTAAAAGAACGAAAGGCCCAATGCAAATAGGTAGGTATGTATAGAGGTACAGAACAGATATGCCCGAATGTATCGCATAATCTAGGGCGATGCTGAGAGCGTGATGCAAGATTACGGATGCGGTCCCGGTCGGCCGGTCGGTTGATGATGGTCATCACAGCAAAATCAGATGAATGAATTAGGAAAGGGGAAAAGGATGCACCACCCGTGGACGGCAGCCAATCAGTCGCAGAACAGCGCGGGCGATGGTAAGCTGAGGGTGTCTGAGACAGGCATTTAAATGTCAATGACTGCCCGGCTGATGACCGGATTGAGTTTTAAATCTATGGCTTGCGCAAATTTATCGAGAGTTCCCACTGCAGTGCAACTGAGAAATGCTGCTCGCATGCTTGTTCAAGATTTTGGTGCAATCGGGTTTTGATAGATATCCGAAAAAGAATGCAATGACCTAGTGAATGTCAAAATGTCAAGGGCGAACAGACGATTGGTTGTGCATTGGATTCAGAGATTGGTGTAGACTGGATGGAAATCTAATTTAATGTCAAGTTTAAAGGTTTTGTGGGTATAGGAAATTCATGAAGGTCAACTTTAGGGGTCCAATCAGTTGAGGGATACTAACCAATTCGTAAAATGGGTCACCGGACTTGAACTTGAAACCAAAATTGTTCATTTCAATTTGCAAAATATAACCCATGATCTTCATACTTGGCTTGTCAAGCAAGATCTCAGGTCTTACCCTCTATTCGGTAGTTATAGTTATGGAACTAGAAAAATCTGTTCACAAAATTGATAGATTATTTTAGAGCGCCCAATTTTCATAAATTCTTGGATTATTGAAATCAATTTCAATCACTGGAAGATTCGTAAAGTTATTGGAGAAACGCGTTTGTTTTAAATTGTGATGGACCAATCCTTCTTAAATGCTTTAATAGTAATAACTATAATTAGAACAGTTGGTTGGAAATGCTATCTAACATGAAGCTTTAGTGTGATAATTTATTAGCTAGAGAATTGTATTAGAAGAGGGTAGGTAGATAGTTCCGTTAGAGTACGGCAGTGTGAAAATTGAATAGAAGTTGAAAATGAGCGAAGGGCCATTAATGCGACAGTACAAAGTCAAACGTATGTAACAACTCAAGGCGGGAGTAGCCGTCAACATTGCTGATGATGGTACAGCACGCAACAACCACCCTACAGTTTTCTCTCTAAGATGACCAAGTTGGTCATGACGAAAAGAGCAACACAATAGTTGGGTAAAGAAGAATTGCATTATAGCACACGTCATCGACTGGAAATGCTTTCGGCAACGTGGGGCTTTAGGTAGTGATGAACTATTCCACAGCTGTAGACAGTGTATATGAGCAAAGGCGGTATGAAGTAACATAAAAACACTTTGAAGACAAATGGTGTGTTGCAATGTGAAGGGCTCGGTGGACTAATGGCAAACGTTTTTGCGTACTTAGCATGAATTCTTGGGTTCAGTCCCAAGCTCTTTCACATTACGTGGTTGTTATTGTCGTGTCCCTTTATTATTAATATGAGCAACTTAACGATCCCCTGCTCCCCCATTGCTCTTTCGATCTGTAGTGAGGTATCCAGCAATCAAGGTTGCTCCAATCTTTTACTAAAATAAATTGATTTGGAATTATGAAATCATAAGATGTTACATGATGTTAATGATATTTTGTACCTAAGAGTTACAAGAAGGGTATGTGTAGATTGCGTCACAATCAGCGATTTATGATTCGTGAGCGTGAGCGCTCACTAATCTTAAAACCTCTGGTGGTGACGCTCAGAAAGCAATTTTGACAGGTTTCATGTGTCAAACACATACTCTTTTGTAAGTTAAAAGTACTGTAAGCGCTAAAAGCAAATGATTTTATAATTCCGAAAAACATTTTTTTATAGGAAGTGAGTAGACGCAACCTTGTCAGCAACTGTGCCAAATTATTATGAATTTGTTTACGATCTGGATTTGCGGGAGAATTTTCATATTCATTTGCTTGTAAATAATTTAAAATTTGTATATTCTTTGTCGAACCTATGATTTAGATTGAAAAATACTATACAGAAAAACTTTATCGAAGATCGGCGATTTGACTTCTGTGCAGTTACATACTTAAGGTCAAAGTGACCTAGTGAGTAAATGAAAATTTTAAAAATGGTAATCTCTGAGATTGCAAAAAGCTCTCGGCGATGTTTTCCTTTTATTATTTCGCACAATCTGACAATTCGACAATCTGAAGTAATGTCTCAGATATTGCCATTTTTGAAAGTTTCATTAACTCTCTAGGTCACTTTCATCTTAAGTTAAAAAAAATAAAACTGCATAGAAGTCAAATCACCGGCGAACCGACGTGACAGCTCATACAAGCTAGTTTCAAATTCGTGCCCAAGACACCATACTTAAAATACGTTAAACACTACCGACATCTACTCATCCGATCGCGTCATACCATGAGCAAGGACACGAATCCACATAATTTATATTGCCTTGGTTTGCGTCTCACCTCGTTTGACAGATCGGATCACACGTTTTAAAGTTCGAATCGCTCGTTTGACAAATCGAATTGTGGACAAACGAAATGCTCCTGTGGCATGTCGGTTCGTCGGTGGTCAAATCGCCGATCTTGGACAAAGTTGTTCTGTATAATATTTTTCAATCAAAATTACAGGTTTGGTAAAGAATGTACAATTTTTTAAATCATTGACTACGTAGTTGACATACTTCCAGAGAATTTCTCGGATTATATAAGAATGCTCTTTTTAAGCTCACCGTTTCTCAAGTTTCATAGCTCCTTTTTTGTAAGCTCACGGATACTTCTAGAGAAGGTCAAAGAGACTTCAGACACGTTAGCCAAAACAATTGAAGAGAATTCCTAAATTTCGTCGATGATCAGGAGATTTCAGACGAATTCAGCGAAATTAAAACTCCATTGTTGTCTAAGGGATAGACACGAGTGGCACGATCTTCAGGAAGTCCATCCAGCTTCTAGGTTTCGCCGATGACATCGACATCATGGCACGGAACTTTGAGACGATGGCGGAAACGTACATCAGACTGGAGGCTGAAGCTAGGCGGATTGGACTT